AGGAAAGTAAATATACCTCTCTTGAAGAACCTGCTATAACGTATCTAACTTTGGTAACACTTGTTCGATGATTCTCACAGATAATGTTCACAGATACCATTGAATAAATGTTCCTATTCTGCCTGAAACTATCGATACCGTATGACCTTCTTAACAAAGACCTTCATGCTTATTCATGTTCTAAATACTGTTAAATCAAGCTTAGGATAAAAGACCCCAACATTCTATATATGTCAACGTTCAGTTATTTATGATGCTTTAACAAAAGCCTAAATGAAAAGTTGCATTCCTTTGAATGATACAGCGCATTATAAATAAGAAATTTTTAAATTGGAACAAAGAAAACACCATGGTTTCACTATAACTGGTATTTGTTAAATTATTGGTAAATTTGGTGACAAATTCAAAGAAAGTGATTATGGAATAACCTACTACTATTTTCCCCGGAAACCTGCACCCACCAGGGAGCTCACAATTGAGCAGAGCAAAAACATCCAAATGACTACCGGACACAGCAGATGGTGGGAAACCGTCAATACGGCCGGGGTTGCAATAAGATCCGGGTTCGGACGGTATACAACGATTGTCTCACTTTATTAATTACACCATCAATGGATTCAGGTCTGATCCTGTCATAAATAGAGATAAATAATAAATAAAATGATTGGAACAAGGAATCCAAAATCTTCCGTTGAAACATCTGTGCACCACGTCTATGCACCACATGTGTAAGCAAGACCACGTGTAGAGACCAGTCTAGTGTTTACAGACCAGTCTAGAGTTTACAGATCAGTCTAGAGTTTGGAGACCATTCAGGAGTTTACAGACTATAGAGTTTACAGGCCAGTCTAGAGTTTAGAAACCAGTCAGGAGTTTACAGACCATAGAGTTTACAGGCCAGGCTAGAGTTTAGAGACCAGTCAGGAGTTTACAGACCATAGAGTTTACAGGCCAGTCTAGAGATTAGAGACCAGTCAGGAGTTTACAGACCATAGAGTTTACAGGCCAGTCTAGAGTTAAGAGACCAGTCAGGAGTTTACAGACCAGAAGACGGTGTTGGCGATGTCGCGATATGTCAGGACAAGATAGTTCTCGACCATGATCAGTATGATGATGGCAGCGTGACGACATACGGCAGTATAGGACAGGCGGACTGACTTGTAACTGACACTGTACGGGCCGGCGATATGCCGACGAATCCTGTCGTTGTTCCACCCACCAGGATGTCTTGCAAGATAATGCCAGACCACACCGTGTTCATGTCGTCATGGATTACCGTCGGAGATGGTATGGACTAAGGATTCCCCATGTGTGCCCTATGTTCATCATGTATCACCTGTGGGATGTTCCCTGTGCAGAGTATGCCAGAGACCAAGCACCTGCTGGGCGCAGCTCTTAGTATCGAGCGGCATCAAGGGCAACAGTTAAACAGCTGTATGCCGCCAAGGTGTGGTGCTTGTATCCCCGGCCATGGTGGACGCCAGATCGTGGTATACACGTCCAGGTGTATGTTTACGGATATTTAGGGCCTATAGGGTTTGTCAGTCCTCGTATTAATGTGGGGAGTATATTTGTTCTCTCTTCATGTTGTTAGAAAAAATCATGATTCTCTGAGTATTAGGTCCAGAATTAGTAGGAGATACCCGTGGTCAATTACAGGAGTAGTGAGAGATACCCACGGTCAGTTACAGGAGTAGTGAGAGATACCCGCGGTCAGTTACAGGAGTAGTGAGAGATACCCGCGGTCAGTTACAGGAGTAGTGAGAGATACCCGCGGTCAGTTACAGGAGTAGTGAGAGATACCCGCGGTCAGTTACAGGAGTAGTGAGAGATACCCGCGGTCAGTTACAGGAGTAGTGAGAGATACAGGAGTAGTGAGAGATACCCGCGGTCAGTTACAGGAGCAGTGAGAGATACCCACGGTCAGTTACAGGAGTAGTGAGAGATACCCGCGGTCAGTTACAGGAGTAGTGAGAGATACCCGCGGTCAGTTACAGGAGTAGTGAGAGATACCCGCGGTCAGTTACAGGAGTAGTGAGAGATACCCACGGTCAGTTACAGGAGTAGTGAGAGATACCCGCGGTCAGTTACAGGAGTAGTGAGAGATACCCACGGTCAGTTACAGGAGTAGTGAGAGATATCCCGGGTCAGTTACAGGAGTAGTGAGAGATACCCGAGAGGAGTAGTGAGATACCAGAGTTACCGCGGTCAATTACAGGAGTAGTGACAGTTACAGGAGTCAGTTACAGCAGTAGTGAGAGATACCCACGGTCAATTACAGGAGTAGTGAGAGATACCCGCGGTCAGTTACAGGAGTAGTGAGAGATACCCGCGGGTCAGTTACAGGAGTAGTGAGAGATACCCACGGTCAGTTACAGGAGTAGTGAGAGATACCCGCGGTCAGTTACAGGAGTAGTGAGACAGGCGGTTACAGGAGTGAGTAGTAGAGAGATACCCCCGGTCAGTCAGTTACAGGAGTAGTGAGAGATACCCGCGGTCAGTTACAGGAGTAGTGAGTGAGATACCGCGGTCAGTTACAGGAGTAGTGAGAGATACCCGCGGTCAGTTACAGGAGAGTGAGAGATACCCGCGGTCAGTTACAGGAGTAGTGAGAGATACCCACGGTCAGTTACAGGAGTAGTGAGAGATACCCAGCGGTCAGTTACAGGAGTAGTGAGAGATACCCGCGGGTCAGTTACAGGAGTAGTGAGTCAGTTACAGGAGTAGATACCCAGCGGTCAGTTACAGGAGTAGTGAGAGATACCCGCGGTCAGTTACAGGAGAGATAGTGAGAGAGTGAGAGATACCACGGTCAGTTACAGGAGTAGTGAGAGATACCCGCAGTTACAGGAGTTACAGGAGTAGTGAGAGATACCCGCGGTCAGTTACAGGAGTAGTGAGAGATACCCACGGTCAGTTACAGGAGTAGTGAGAGATACCCACGGTCAGTTACAGGAGTAGTGAGAGATACCCGCGGTCAGTTACAGGAGTAGTGAGAGATACCCGCGGTCAGTTACAGGAGTAGAGAGATACCCAGGTCAGTTACAGGAGTAGTGAGAGATACCCGCGGTCAGTTACAGGAGTAGTGAGAGATACCCGCGGTCAGTTACAGGAGTAGTGAGATATACCACGGTCAGTTACAGGAGTAGTGAGAGATACCCGCGGTCAGTTACAGGAGTAGTGAGAGATACCCGCGGTCAGTTACAGCAGTAGTGAGAGATACCCACGGTCAGTTACAGGAGTAGTGAGAGATACCCACGGTCAGTTACAGGAGTAGTGAGAGATACCCGCGGTCAGTTACAGGAGTAGTGAGAGATACCCGCGGTCAGTTACGGTCAGTTACAGGAGTAGTGAGAGATACCCACGGTCAGTTACAGGAGTAGTGAGAGATACCCGCAGTCAGTTACAGGAGTAGTGAGAGATACCAGCGGTCAGTTACAGGAGTAGTGAGAGATACCCGCGGTCAGTTACAGGAGTAGTGAGATACCCGCGGTCAGTTACAGGAGTAGTGAGAGATACCCGCGGTCAGTTACAGGAGTAGTGAGAGATACCCGCGGTCAGTTACAGGAGTAGTGAGTGATACCCGCGGTCAGTTACAGGAGTAGTGAGAGATACCCGCGGTCAGTTACAGGAGTAGTGAGAGATACCCACGGTCAGTTACAATGATACACGGTAGATGTATACGCAAGGACCACCCTGGTCTTCCACAATGTCATCCAATCACAGCTGTTAGCTACAAATCGCTCTACCACAGCCTCTGGACGAACGACACGTGTCAGTTTCGTGTAGTGTAGCCTTGTGAGTAGGCCTATTAATATTGTATGAGTGATAGGCCTTCGTGTAGAGCTCGTAAAGCTAATAATTGATGGTATCGTGTTATTTCCATAGCGGTGAGTGGTGTTCCAAGAGAGACATGTAGCTTGAGAAATTAACCGATGGCCACTAATCACAATGGTAGGCACAAATGTACAAACACAGTTCCAGCAGTACCAGGTCTGAACGGCTAGAGTCTTGAAGTGTGCCATTAGTCCTTAGTTCCTGTAGCTATAAATTACATACCATCTTTCGTCTGTGTTGCGGGGCGGTTGGGTAGCCTAGTGGTTAAAGCGTTCGCTCGTCACGCCGAAGACCTGGGTTCGATTCCCCACATGGGTACAATGTGTGAACCCCATTTCTGGTGTCCGCAGCCGTGATATTGCCAGAATATTGCTAAAAGCGGTGGAAAACTAAACTCACTAACTCGTGTGTGTTGTAACTTTATATCTGATGGTTGCACGGGACAGTAAGTTTATCGTGGCGCTCGTATAATGTTAAGAAATGGCAGTGACCTTGATTTAGAGTTACATCCCCTACATCCCAAGGCAGGAACCAATGATCGTGGGTTCGAATCCCAGATGTACCCCGATACCGTTTCTACGTTTATCCTCACCATTTCCGTCCTCGTTATACCACCAAAGTGGTTAACATCTATTGCTTAACCTGTCACACTGTACTGACACATCACTGAAAAAATCACTCACTCACTCACCCCTTGCTGTCGCTGCCGGGTACAACCATTTGCTCGACAAGCCAGAGACCCAGATGGAGAACCCAGGGGCACAGTGGAAGAACGTAAGTTTGGGGGGTATCCCCACGAAAACCTCCATGTTCACTCATCGTCGAGCCACGTGCACACTTCTGTTTGAGTCACGGCCTTACCCACGAGGTCCTCGACATACAGTGAGTCTGTTTCTCTTTATTGGAGCATTCAGGCATATTCATATCATACACCTCGACATTACATAAAGTAGGAATCCCTCCTTACTTAATATTTCAAGTGTAGCTAGTTCTTGTATTAATGAGTATTTAAGTATGAATTCTTTTAGTCATGATATGGCTGAAATACTGCCAGAGTGACTTTAAATATTCACTCATTCACTCACTCACTCTTGTATTAATGGGATGAAACTGGATCCAACAAGACTCAAAATGTTATAGAATAAAAAATGTAAACAAACTCATTATTTCAAATCTGAGTTGAGCCCAGCAATGTTTATGTTGTACAAGCTTCAGTTAAACGCGTGGCTATCCTATGCCAGTTACAGATGTACACTAGTTGAAGTCTGGAGAAAAACATTCAGTGTTACTTTACTCGATGAATACAGATATGTTATATGTAGCAATGTCGGCCATGCAGTTACATCCCGCTCCAGATACAGGGATATACCACTCAACATCTCAGTGTTAAGTCGGGTACTAAGTGTGAGCCCATTCCTCGGAAATGATATTTTCATAGTCATAAGTCGACGATTCTGTGGCAAGGAATCGTTTCTTCGCTTTCAGAAAACTGAAGAGATTCCGTTGGTTAGTTTCGTTCATATATTACGTCGTTTGACAAAACAAATATGTTAAAATGTTTTCATTTCACAAAGTAAATGTTAGGTTATTAGGTTCTGAACAGTTTGAAATATTTCAGTATCCCTATGAAACGTTGAGTGGTATATTATGTAACTCTATTTGAATGACAAGAAAGAAGGTGTTTTTCCCGGTATTTTAATCCGGGTGATACTGTACACAGTGAATGACGACTCTAGATGCGGCCCTGGATGAACGGAGATATAGCACAGTTACAGCTGGACTCCACCTGTATCCAGTTCCAGTCGTAGTAGGTGTCTCCGGGACGTCGCACCAACGCCATCACGTACGACTTCTTCGGCATGCATCGCGACCAATACCTGTGGCAGAGAACGTCAGTGGGGTTAGAAGGAGAAATATGAGCAATGGCCATACAGGTGTACCGAGTGAGTGAGTTCTGGTTTGTGTGAGAGAGAGAGAGAGAGAGAGAGAGAGAGAGAGAGAGAGAGAGAGAGAGAGAGAGAGAGAGAGAGAGAGAGAGAGAGAGAGAGAGAGAGAGAGAGAGAGAGAGAGAGAGAGAGAGAAAAGAGAGAGAGAAAAAAAAAGAGAGAGAGAGAGTGTGTGTGTGTGTGCGCGCGCGTTGTGCTTACGTGTACACAAGATCTTTCGGGCCTTTTCGACACGCATGCAACCACTCATGATGTATATACGTGTAGTTGGATGGAAGTATATTTTAAATGATAGAATGTCAATCATTACAATCGCGAGCCGTAAACTCCGTAAATTGCCTATCTCACAAGATGTTTAAGTGCCCTGATTATATTCAGTTTCACTGGCTGGAACTTTACACGGGACACTTGAAGCTAACCAGCTGAAAAATTCCGACAAGCGATGTTGGCAGGCTAAATTCTCAGCCGGTTAATTTGTAGTGTCGGCTGTGCAATGAGCCGCCTACTGCGGTGTGTTGTGGACTCGCATTCATACACCTCCTTAATCTGCCGCATCAGCCACGTGGACAGATGCTAACCCCGCCGGGGGAAGCACCACGTGACGCGAATGCCAAACAATACTTACAAACGTTCATTGATCTTAATCGGAATTGATAATGTCATTTAGTTATAAATGGTCAGAGATCTTGATTCACTGGGAGCGATATTAGGCCTATCGTGATCTTGAAAGGCAATTTATTCATGAAAGGAAAATCTACTCTGTCTTCCCGTCATTGTAAAACACGATGTATTACCGTGAGTAGTCCCCCGATACCAGCTAGCAGTGTATACACAATATAGTCAACACCCAAGGTATAGCGCCACATGGAACTAGGCTTGGTGTAGTTTGTAGTTGCTATGAGCTGTAGTTCTAAAACTAATGACTATTTCGATGTTGTATTAAATGCAGAATCACACGACAGGAAAAACACATTTTCAGAACAGATTTCAGAACTGATTGTGAATCAGTCATTACAATCATGTTGTCGTAATTAGTGTGACGCCACATGTTTCTGACATCACAATTGACTATGTATGCACACTGAGTTACCGCATTGAGAAATCGGGCAAAAGATAATCAGTTGTTTCACAAACACATGTCACAGAAAATAAACAAACTGTGACTCGTGGGTTCGTTATGATACCTTCACTTCATGCTTACTGTACGTACAAAGCCAATTAAGCAATTGAAACTCAAAACGTAGTCTTACGAAGAACTATCAACTGAGACATCCAACACTAATCCTAGGCCAAATGTAGAGATAACATCAGGTAATATGATACACCAGGCCTTATCACCCATCCTGCATATCCTGATCATGTTGAACGCCACTGCTTGTCACCGTCCATTAAACCATGCGGTTAATACTCATGCAGTTGGTCTATGAACATGTGGACACTGTTTCAACAGCGGGGTAATCCTTGTTTGTTTTCAGCAACCTGATACATTCTGTGTCTAGTTCCACATTGACAAGAATCTCTGGAGGGTGGGAGTTGTCATACCAATTACTGGATAAGGCTGAGAGATCCTAAAAGATAGGGACTTTTCTAACATTTGGCCTAGGACTAACACCTGATATGTTAACTGAGGACTAAATCTACCCAAACCATCGGCGCTATCAACCTTAGACTAGAGACACGTGACTTGACGCAAAAATCTGAAGACACGCGACATCGCTAACACCTACAGATTATGTCTACTGTTCTCAGCTTAATAAACTATCTGTACAAATAGTGTTATAGATATGGATCCAACAACAGTGAAATCCCAGTTTCAAAGATAAACCATAATCATGAATGCAAAGAAGGATTTAGATTTCTTTATATCCAAAGGTATTATTTGCTTGAAAGGAAACAAGGTCAATTTTGGCAATAGTTGTTTTTTTTCTACACTTTGAACACCTCTTTCCCACACGACGGAATTAAGGTAAATCTTCATTCCTTGATCCATGAGACAAAATTTGACACTATGCGTGATGATCACGTGATACAACATGTGCTTCTGGTTAATGATTTGTCAGAATCATCGCTAAAAGAACTAAGGGACACGTAATTTGATCAAGAAGTGACAGCTGTCGACAAAAAACATTAAAAAATGCAAATTTCATGGATCTCTTTCATGTGCCGAAAATTTTGAAACAGCTGTGGCGTGGGAGGGTCATTAGTTTGATGGTTATATCACTAGTTCGCAGTGCTCATTCATCGTCCAGGGCCCCGTGAGACAATGTAGGATTTATACAAGATAATTGCAAGGTCGTAAAGAGTATATGAATCCAGTCAAAGCTGTGTCCCGTGGGCGGCCGAGAAAATGATCGCTTCCTAATTATATTTCAGGTCCATATTAAGCACGGGGGACTGACAGCAGACCATCATTTGGGTAATGCTAGACCACTTGCCACTGTCACGATTCCTCGTAAAATGGCCAAGAAAGGGCTGTTGTTTTCACCGTAGACGTATTGAAAGGGAAATTGGTAACCACTTCTTGTCACAGCAGGCACCTAGTGGTTAGTAAGTGATGTCATCGAGCACCCAGTTTCATACCTTGTGAACCGAACGTGAGAAGTGTAATTTGAAGAAGATAAACGTTATGATGATAAAGTTGAAGTGTAGGACGTAATATACCACCGCCATGTTCTTACTGTGGTGTGTATCTATTTTCCTTACAACTTATGAACTTATTTACAATCGGGTTATTCCACTTGTCAATATGTTTTCAGCACCGGTATCCCAAAAGGGTAAGAAAGTAAGATACTTTGTGGATAACAACTTCTCTATTATGTATCATGTGACGTTTCGGTATAGATTCTTATACGGTTGGCCCTCTTGCCTCACAACGGTATAAGAATCTATACTTAAACGTGGCATCATATATAATAAAGAAGTTGTTATCCATAAAGTATCTTACTTTCTTATTACTCACCAACTTCTAAACTGCAAGTCAAACAGATCATCCCAATAGGGGTTAAAGTCAATGACCACCATAACTTGGTGTTTCTCCTACGTGAAGATACTGTTCCCAGCGGGGCCTAAAAAACGTACCTAGCTCAACATCACTAAATATTTTTCTACATATCCATCCACTTATCTACATATCCATCCACTTATCTGCATATCCACCCACTTACCTACATATCAATCCACATATCTACATATTCATTCACTTATCTACATATTCATCCACATATCTACATATTCATTCACTTATCTACATATTCATCCACATATCTACATATTCATTCACTTATCTACATATCCATCCACATATCTACATATTCATCCACTTATCTACATTTTCATCCACTTATCTACATATTCATCCACTTATCTACATATTCATCCACTTATCTATCCCCTTATCCATCCACTTATCTGCATGTCCATCCACATATCTACATATTCATCCACTTATCTGCATATTCACATATCTACATATCCATCCACTTATCTATATATTCATCCACTTATCCACATATCCATCCACTTATCTATATATTCATCCACTTATCCACATATCCATCCACCTATCTTCATATTCATCCACTTATCAACATATTCATCCACTTATCCACATATTCACACATCCACTTATCCACATATTCATCCATTTATCTACATTTTCATCCACTTATCTATATATTCATCCACTTATCTATCCACTTATCCATCCACTTATCTGCATGTCCATCCACATATCTACATATTCATCCACTTATCTGCATATTCACATATCTACATATTCATCCACTTATCTACATATCCATCCACCTATCTACATATTCATCCCCTTATCCACATATCCACCGACATATCTACATATTCGTACACCTATCTATATACTTTTGCATCTCACTGTGAGTTGATCGAGTCCTATTTCCGGTCAACATGTCTGTGTTCCGAGAAGCGGACTATGAATGAAGGATGCTTCCGTATCCAATTTCCGCACAGTATTAAATGAGTTATTCCTATCTACATCCAGGGTGACTGACTTGTGACTGAGAAGACCATGTGTATTCCCGACACGACTACAACCCAACCAGAATAAACACAATAATCTTCACAATGAGTCCTGGCAGATGAGTTTGTGTACTCTGTCCTATATACAGTCAATAGATTCTGACATACTGCTCTCATGGATTGGACGTATTTAGTTCCAGCAGTTATAAAGATTATGCTTGACTAAATGGATATTTCACAAGTATGTAATGTGCCCCATACCAGGAAATGTGCCTATATGAGGCGGTGAGGTAGCCTAGTGGTTAAAGCGTTCGCTCGTCACGCCGAAAGCCTGGGTTCGATTCCCCACATGGGTACAATGTGTGAAGCCCAAGTAGTATACACCATGGGGCTACGGGCCCAGGTCCCTAATCCCGTAGCCCCATGGTGTATACTACTACTGAGGTGCATGCAAAATTTGATGAAAATCGGTCGAATAGTTTCTGAAATATTGACTTTTACGTGAGCATGGGGTCGGTCGGGGAAAAGGCTCGGGTCGCCTCGGGGGTGGTTGCTCCTCCGAGCGCTGTGGGCGGACGAGTCGCAGTGCGTGTGCGTGTGTCTCTCTCACCTTGGTGTATCGGTGGCTGGCTGGCTACATTAAGCAGAAAAATAGGCATGCAAGACTGATAAAAAATCATGACGAGAAACTATCATCACACGGTGGGTGATGTGTAAGAGACTGTGTCGTGAGGTACGATCATCAACTCCTCTCGGACGAATGCTCTCGGCGGCCCGTGTTTCAAGTAGTACAAGTTCGGTTCGCCGTCTTTGATGTCGACCAGGTCGATGTTGTACTTTTCATGGACCATATCGGATCGGTGGCGCGTTTTCTGATGTCACCCTCGTATTCGCCCGGCTGGTATATGTTCCTAACGCTGACACAGTCCGGTAACATT